AATTCTCATGATAATCGGGGGTCGGTAAAGAGTGGGAGAATTTTCTTCACAATTTTTTTTACGTTTAGATATCATTACAATATTTCCAAGTTTTCTTCCAAGACAAAAACCCAAAAATGCAAAATTGTCAATTTCAATCTAACAAAAACAAAATTACAACAAAAAACGGGGCGTTAAGGGGTTGGGGGGTAGGGAGTGGGGGGCGGCGGGGTTGGAGTCTATCCTCGTCCCCAGCCTCACAACAGCATCCTCATTAATTACACATTTCAATCGGTTAATTAATAAATTCTGCATTATCTCATTCATCTGTTTAATTACTCTCCTATTATCTTTTTTCTTCCATTTTATAAACGGTGAATTGTGTGCGTGAGTGAACTAGTGGTTGCCGAATTTCACCATGAAATACAATCTTAAAAAAATCTCATTTTTATAATATTTCAATGGTTGCATTCGGCATTTAGGAAGTCTCTGTAGTAACCAGCGGTAAAACGTATCACAAGTATGTAGCATCCATCAGTTGTTTTTTTTTCCTCTCAAATCGGTTAATTAACATTAAAAATATGAAGTTCAAAAAGGGTTCGCTAAATTTTTTCGAGTCTCTCTAACTCATGACAACAACTGAAAAATCCGATTGAAACAAAAATAGAAATTATTAATCCTGTATATTACATATTATATTGTACAATCTGCTTGATAAAAATATATTATTCAATTATTGGTCCCTGTAACGAATTAATTCACACCAGGGATTGGCTATTTCGTATTGTTTAGGCGTTTTAACAAAGAGAGACAAGAAATTTTGAGGTTAGGAAAATTTCAGTTACCTTTTGGCGGGAATTTTTGAAATTCCACCGGTGCCATTCAGTACATCGGAAAGTTCATCACAGATTAAAGAAAAAAAAAAAAACGACCCATTTTGCCCCGTTATTTTTGGAGTTGCAGTAAAAAATGTGTGTCGATCAAAAATCGTTTTTTTGCAATAATTCATCAATAAATGGGGCAAAACGGGTCATTTTTTTTCAATGTCACCAGAAATTTTCCGATCCGCCGAATGGGGTGACTATCAACCCCATTTAACGAACACTTTTCTTTTTAAATAACCGATTGTTTAAAAAGTATTGTTTAATATTGTTAATGCTGGGCCATATTTTCAAAAAACATTTCGGCCGCAATCTGTTAATTATTGCTCTGTTTGTTTCACATTTTTAATTACGTTTTTTTTATGTATATCAAATATTATAAACTGTAATACAATGTAAACCTGTAAAAAATATAGTGGGTGGCGGCGGTTCTCTGTTTCTTTCATTTATAATATAATAAGTAGTTTTTTTTTATCATAATTGTTTGTCTTGTTTTTTTTATGGTACACGGTAATTAGTATAAATATATTCGTATATTATATTTCTGCGGTTGGGGGGAGGGGGAGGGGGGTATTGGGATTATTTCATACTTCGGTTTGAGTACAAATTGTTATTTGTCTTTGCATTGTTATCTGAGAAATAAACAAATTGAGGGGTTCTTTTTTTTGGATGCAATTTGTGAGGCAGAGGCGAACTTAGGAACTACGTGAACGGCACAACCGATGCTAGTTATTATTTCTCACGCATTTGTTCGTTTTTGTCGTCTTTTTTTTTTAATTTTGGGATTTTTTTTAGTAATTTTTTGTCAATGATAAATTATGAGAATTCTTCGTTATCATATGCCGATAAAACGGGAATTTTCACGACGGTCGGATACCATCCGACAATAACTCATATTTACTGTCGATAATATAGGGAATTACATGCCTACTTATGAACAGTCGATAAAACAGAAACTTTTTCAAAAAAAAATAAAAAACAAAACAAGGAAATATCTTGAATTTTATAAAATTGCACATTATTTTCTTCAATTAATAGATTTAACAGTGAAAAAAAATATGAATCCATTGATTGAAGAAAAAAAATTCTCATAATTGTAATTTAGCTATTTAGCTGTCCTCCAAACAAAGGTTGTATCCGAATAAACAATCGCCATTATGTTTTTGTCCACAGCAATAATTAGATAAATAGATATTCATATATATTACGCATAAATATAATCAATTGCGCGTACCGTTTCTTCAACTTTTCAATCTCTCATCACGTTCATCTATTTACAAATTGTTGGTTTTTTTTACTGTGCGTAAGAATAATTAACTAATTATCTTAAAAACTTACAAACAAACGTCTCTCTCACTCTTTCTCTCTTTAAACAAGGATTATAAAATCATAAACAATTGTATTAATAGCACGGCGGTAAATATTATCGATATTCGTCAACGAGCAAGAATAATACTTTGTTCGGAGTGTTTTGTGTTTTTTTTTCATTAATTTTTCTTTGTTTATAATTCTATCATCTTTAATGCAGCGTTTTGTTTATTAGGAACTTAGGATGCGGTCAGAACTCAAAGCCCTTTGTATTGTTAGTCTCTATCATTTTGTTATTGTTTATCCGGCAACGAGTGTCGACCCAATTCTTATTGTAATTAAAAAACACTGGATTTTCATTGTTTTGGATGAACAATTTGAAACAATTGTTTCAGTTGATCATTGTTTCACTTCATATTTCAGGTGATTATCGAAGGACTCCGATGGATAAGTGCTCATTTTGAAGAGTTCAATGCCTTGTTCAAGGTGAATTTTGATTTTTGTAAATCGGTCAATTAGTTCTCGAGATATCGTAGATTGTATTTTTAAACAATGCTCTCTTTGTTCACAATAACGATTATTGTTTCCTTCAATATCTCAGGAACTAGCCGATCGATTTCGACGATCGATCTCTCATTTCAAAGCTCCTCCAGTCCCCTTCGAATCACCCTTTGAAAATTTCAATTCTACCGACTCATTCACGAGATATCGAAGTTTCAAATCGTGAACAAAGTTTGTCCATAACCTCCAAATACTTTGTATCACCCTGAACAATGAAAGACCCGTATAAATCTGTCAACTAACACATTGTATATTGTTCAATATCGTAGCGTTGTTCAGCCTTAAAAAATTTCATGGAAAAAAAAATGAACATGAGAAGACAATCTTTAAGAACAAATTTCCCCAAACGAAGAACCCTCATAACCTAAAAAATTCAACCGAAGAAAATCAATTGTAAATATTCAACAAATTTGTTTTTCCTGTTTCATCGATAAATTGATATGTCAGCAACGAGATTTAACAATACAGCAATCATACGATATGGTAGCTAATTACCGGCAGCCATGTTCATTTTTTTTTAATTCTCTTTGTAATCAGTCATATCGAGTTGATGTATAGAAAAAACTTTCGAATACAACCTTTTCCTGTCTCTCAGTATTTGCTGTGTCAATCATCATTATTTTCCTTTTTCAACAGTGAAAATCCTTTGGGCTTTTACCTCGGCCCCCGGTCGCACGAAAATTGTTTATTTTCATTTATTAATTTATTTAAAACTTCTAACACTCGAACTTTTTTTTCGCTTCTCGACCACTTGCACTCGCACTTTTACAATTAATAATAAAGTAGTCAATCGCACCTCTACTTACAATTCTACACGTGTCAATGTTTTTTTTCATCATTAATTATTTTTTAATTTGTTTATTAATTACGGAACGACGTGCGTCCGGCGCCACGAGGATGAAACAATAGGTGAAAAAAAGTCCCCGAGATTGAACGAATGGAAAATTTATTACTTTTTTTTGGAAATTTGGCCCGGGATTTTTCTTTCTCTGTGGTCGTAATTATTTTTTTTTTATAAATCTAAGGGTTTCACTTGTCCCCTTCATCCTCACAATCTCACTTTATGTAACAACGAAACAGGCATTAAGATTTTTTTAAATGTCTACCTAACGTATTAATGATTTTCACCATCACTTGTTTCATTATTATTAGTTTTTTTCTCATTTTTCATTTAAAAATTCATTTCCCCATTCGTTTTAACTGCAAAATAATACTGAAGTCCGCACATGGTGCCTATCACAATATGTGTGTCTAGTTTATAATGAAAAATCTCTGTTGAGTGCGAGATTTTTCGGTTTTTTTTCGATTGATTTTTCGTTTTCATTCACACATTTTGAAACGCAGTTCGGAGTGAATTAAATAAATATTTTATTGCGGGTGGGGAGGTGTTGGAAAATTCTTTTTTTTGAGGTTAGGTGGTTCCCAAAATGGCGGCCAGGTAATGAGGATTTTTTTCTTTGAATAATTGCACGATTTTTTTTTAGATTATAAAGAAAACAAAACGGCGGATACCATTTTTTATTCCATTGTATGCCATTTTGTTTGCAAATTGCACATGATTGTTTGAGGTTAGAAATAAACTAAAATTGCCGACAATTAGGCTTCCAAATTTTTCCTTCAGTCTAATTTGTTTTTAATGACGAATTTGTTCTCAATCTCCACTCTCCGCCATTTTCTTTACCTCAACCACACAAAATGTCGTCCCCAATAACTGCTGTTAATGTGCATTAATTTCTGTTTTGGAAATTCATTTTTTGTGGTTAAGGGTTTCACAAGATGGCGGCCAGGGGATTCTTTTGTTGAAGAACTGCACTGAATTTTTTTAGATTAGAAAGAAAACAAAATGGCGGATACTATCGTATTATTCCACTGCCCGCCATTTTATCCATCACGTACACAAAATGGCGGACACTTGAGCTTTTAAATTTTTCCTCCAGTCCTTTCCCCATTTCTTCATAATTTACTTTTGACCAAAATTTTTCAAAATGACAAATTTATTCTCAATCTCCCCTGTCCGCCATTTTGTTCACCTCAGCCACCCAAAATGGCGTCCACAAAGACAGCTGCTAATGCACATTAATTTCCATTCATAACCTCAAAAAAATAATTTTCCAAGCCTTCCTCAAATTGCCAAAAACCCATTGCTCACGCATCCTCACATAATCCCATTAATTAATAATCAATAATATCATTTTGTATTGTACAGGCTCACCCCCTCCCTGAAAAAGCCCGTCTCCTCTTTCACGATTCCCTCAGTTGAATCTTTTATTGTTTCACAAGCCCCCACATCTCCCCACCCTCCAGTACCAACCCTCACGAACGAAAAGAAAAAAAATCGTAGTGTTTATTCTGTTCAATAATTTATGAATTACGTTTCTCTGTTTAATAAGTTTTATTTCCTCTTTCAATATGCAATTTTTTTTTCTCTTTCACATTCTCAATTTTTAGCTATCGTAGATTTGTCTGTGGCTATCCCTGATGTGTTATTTACCCTGCGCTTCCGTCTGGTTGTCGAAAATTGGTATTATTTATCATCATTTTTACCATTAATAATTTTTTTTCATTACTTTTAAAATTATTTAGTCGCCAAACTGTGGTCTACGATTTCGTTATTAAATTGTCCATTAATTAACCTCATTTTCACATTTTAATTAATCATTAAAGCGATTTCGCATTTTTTTCGATTTTAATCATCATTATTTGGTATATTTATTTTTACTCATTTATTATCCGTCGAGAGAAAAATAATAATTAAAACGTCATGTATCTCTTTGGAAAAATTCCCCTCCAAATAATTTCTTTTTTATTAAAAAAAATGCACGAATTATGTTTTTTTTACACAAAAAAAGTCCAGTAAAATTATGCAAAAATTATTTACAGAATTAAAAAAGAAAAAAAATTAAATACTTTTTTACATTGCAGCGAGTATTGCACTTGACCCTCATTGTGCTAATTTTTCGCGGGAAAATCGTTATAATTTAAATGTTTTTTTTTCTTCATATTTTTTCTCATTTCAACTTTTGCCGTCGAAAAAATGAATGAGAAGTGAGTGAAAATCATGTCATAGGGGTGCGTTTTTTCTTACATTTTTTCATTCAACGAAATTCTTAGGCATTGTGCGAGCCCAACCCCCCCACCCTAACCCCTTTCAAGAAGTTCCCTTTCAATTTAACCGTTTGCATCTCCCGTAAAGGCGAAAAAAAACGTTAAAGAAGGCGAAAAAACGGGGAAAAAAATCTCTTAAAAGGAGAGAGTCATCTTGTTTTCCTTCCGGGTTTCCTTTCTTGTGCGCCGATCCACCGTAAGGACGTGAAGGATACATTATTTCTCCTGTTCATAGTAACAGAAATGAAGAAAAAAAAGTTTTCAAATAAACGAATGAGAAAAAATAAACTCCATCTTTGATGTTAGAACGGGAGAAACTGGCTTTGTTATTTGGTATGTTTGGTATCGTATATTATAAAAAAAAAGTCAAACAAAACGTTCCGATAATAATAGCATTGATATATCGTTATTACACTCCATGAAAGTGGAAAAAGTATCTTGCGGTGTTCAGTACGCTGTTGAGAATCCCGTAGATGTAACTCGAATGTCAGACCCGACTCAATCGATAGTCGGGAAAATTGCCGATCCCGAGTTCTAGTCATAAGTCCGTTTTGCCCCTCCATTTTCCTCAAACCACCAAATTCAAAAATCCTCCCGAAAAATCCAATTTCCGCGATATTTTCAAAACTACCGGGGCAAAACAGGTTTATGACCAATGTGTGAGTTCGGGGATTTCCCCAACTATCTATGATAGCCCTCACGACTTGCCTCCCCCGTCTCATAACCTAAGAATCAACGATGAAACAAATGCCGCGAAATAATTTTTCCAAACTGTTAGGTAAAAGTATCCTGCGGTGTTCGGCGCACTGTTAAGAATTCCGTAGATGTAACTCGAACGTCAGACCCGACTTAATCGATAGTACGGAAAATTTCTGATCCCGAACCCTGGTCACAAGTCCATTTTGCCCCTCAACTCCCCTCAAACCACCAAATTCGAAAAAACCTTCCAAAAAAACCCAACTTTCGTCATATTTTCAAAACTACCGGGGCACAACGGGTTTATGACCAGTGCGTGAGTTCGGGGATTTCCCCAACTATCTATGACAGCCCCCATATCGCCCTTCCGCCCTCTCATAACCTAAGAATCAACAAAGAGTCAAATGCCGCGAAATCATTTTTCCAACCTATCAGGCAAAAGTATCCTGCGGTGTTCAGCGCACTGTTAAGAAACCCGTAGATGTAACTCGAACGTCAGACCCGACTGAATCGATAGACCGCAAAATTTCCGATCCCGAACTCCGGTCACAAGTTCGTTTTGCCCCTCAACTTTTCTCAAGCCACCAATTTCAAAAATCCTCCCGAAAAACTTTCTTTTCGCAATATTTTCAAAATTACCGGGACAAAACGGGTTCATGACGAGTGTTTGACATCGGGATTCCCCTACCTATCTGTTACAATTCCCACGCCGCCCTCCCCACTCGGCCAACCTAAAAATCTCCAACGACGAAAAACCCGCCACATCATTTTTTCGACCAAGTAAGCAAAAGTCTCGAGAAAGTCAGTCTTAGATCAAAAAAAAAACATTCAGCCCTCTCCCCCCTTTCGAATACGAAAACGCTGGACGTCGGTACAATTACAAATAAAGATAATCCCTCAGTGCCCTCAGCCTGTCTCATTCCGATCCATTCTGCTGCAGTAACGCCGGAGCTGATTGTGGTGGTTGAATACTGTCATGTTGACTGGGCGATGGTGACCGACTCTGTTGTCCAAGATCACTGTTACCCCCGCCCCCACTGCCGCCCACCCCCTCGAATGCCTTTTGTTCACTAGGCGGTAGTAGATGAACCATGCTAACAGGAACAGGAAAGGCAGCCCCAAAATCCGGAAAGAATCCCTGGGGCAAATTGCCGCCAAGAAGAGGATGATGGCTGTAAGACTCGTCGCCAGGATGAGGCATCCCAAGAGGATGTCCCATCTGGGAGGGTGGCTGAATGGCCTTGACATTGTTGTTCAACGAGTTCATGACTTCGCCGGTGGTGGCGCCAGTGCAGTCCCTCCTGAGTTGCTCGAGCTTGAGACTCTTTCCGTACTTTCCCCTGACGTACATGAGCAGGCTGTTGTAAGGGATGCCGAAGAGCCGGCTGGCCTGTGAAGTCGTCATCTTCTTGTTCCAAACATGCTGCAACGCTTCCGTGAGTTCAGCATTGGTCCACGACCTTGGCGGTCCACCCCGCGGTGCGCTGTGCTGTCCCTTGGGCCTGCCAATGGGCATTCCCCTGCCGTGCTCCGACCACCTCCTAGTCGAGTCCCCATCCCCCCTGTGCTTCTTTGGTTTCTTGGTGATGTGATGACCCAGATTACCACCGAACAGTCCCTGAAAGGCCTCCGGCTTGAAGCTATCATGCAAATCCGTGAGTAATGTACCTCTCTCCAATCCACCACCATGTGGAAACAGTCCGCCACTGGTCAACGGTGACACACCATCCATGGGGAATACCGCGACAGATCTTCTTGTTGGTGTCATCTGCTCCTGATGATAATGCGGATTACGATTGTGCCCCTGGGGACTGCCGTCCCTGTGTGCCATTTGGCTCTGATGATTTGGCAGCCATTGGGCGGCAAACTGGCCTAGTGACGTCAGGTACTCGCTTGGATGATGTGGTGGGGTTAGGGACAGTGACATTGAGGGTAAACCTGGGGTAGGAAGATCCTGCAAGGAGCCGTCCGGATGGAGGCTTGTACCGGTCATTGGTGAGCCACGCGGACTGCTAGCTGCCTCGCTCTCAGTCTTGATGCCCTGTTCGGAGGGAAGCCCTGGGGAGAGGGAACGCTTCATCGAGAGATTCTCCGCGGTCTCCTCGCGATTCGTCGGCGTTGACGGTGGATTCGTTTGGGATGGGGTACGCGGCGCCTGGGGTGGCGGAATCTGTGACTGACCTGGGGTTTGGCTGCCTGTTGGCTGACTCGGGTTACTTGGCAGGGCTCCAGTCAGGTTGAGACCACACGGCGGACTCAGGCTCGCGGGTGGATGCGGTCGCGACAGATCCTGGGGGATCAACTCCCCCGATCTTCTTCTTGGTCGTGCCTGCTTCCGCCGTGGTAGGAGCGGCGAGTTGCAGGACTCGCGTAACTCGCGGAGGGAGAAGTTCAGGTGACCCATGTGGGGGAGGCGGTCGCGATCCCGATCGCGGTCACGGGTGAATATCGTTCGCGACTCGCGTTGAATCGAATCGGTGTCCGCGTCGTGATCACCTTCTGGGCTGAGGCGGTCGCCCAGGAGGTCGGTGGGTGTCTCCACTGGGGTGTCGGGAGGCGATGCTGGCCGAGGCTCGGACGAGGCTAGACCACGCACCTGGAGACTCTCTGCTGCACGCATCAGACCCGGAAGCTCTTCGCGGCCGACACGCACTTCACCCCGATACATGAAGTCTATCAGGGCGGCAACCTCACGACCTGGGAAGTCTTTCAGGACTATCACCGGGTGTTTGCATGGGTGCTCAGCGAATATCCTCTCGAAGAAAGGACTGGAATGAGAAGAAAGGGGTTACGTAGGACTAGTGGAGGGGGGAAAGGTATTTCTCACTCTGGCGGTGCCAGCTGATACATCTTAATACAATCATTGTACGGAGTATATTATATGAGGGAAACGAAGCTTGATGAGACACTGCGGACAGTGAACGAATGAACAAGCAATGATTCAAGATGGACACGACTTGAAGCGAGACATTTCTTTTCTCGAAAACTTGAGGCAATTGTGCTTATGGTTGCCTTGACCAGGAAAATGTTGGTTGATGAAATTGATGAAACTAAGGCTTTGGATCTTTGTCTAATACATGGCTAATCTAAATCTTTCGATGGTCTACGATTCTCGAAAGGAATTTCTCAGTCTTGTTGACTTTTCGCGATTTCGCAAAAATCTTTTTTCATTTTTCTCTTGTGCGTAAAGTTGATTTTTACGCACGCTCCGCGTGCGCTCGCTTTCGGTGTGCGTTGCACACCTCCGGATCAAAAAACACTTTTATATCACTAGGTGCAATAAACCGCGAACACTCAGTTAGATCGCGGTTTTCGGGCCCAGTGACATAAAATATTGCTTCTCACACGTCGATAAGTTTCACCTGAATGTGATTGTAAGCCTCGCCTTCGGCACAGATTACACAGTCACATTCATTAGATAATACTTTTATCGCCTGATGACATAATGCACTATTATTTCACTAGGTCCAATAAACCGCGTATCTAACCTCGATCACTCAGTTAGATCGCGGTTTTCGGCCAGTGACATAAAATATTGCATCTCACACGTCGAGAAAAATATTATCTGAAAAATGTGATTGCAATCCTCGCCTTCGTCACATAATACTTTTATCGGCTAATGACATAATGTACTATTTTACGGACTAGTATCGAAATATACTATTTTAGTGTATTGCCTCAAATTCTCGGGTAAAAACGGTCGTCATATTGTGTTTTCCATCCGAAATTTCTCCCGGCATTGATTGAGAGCATTATTACACCTCTAGCATTTTTGAAAAAAAAAAAAAAAAAAAAAAAAAAAAAAAAAAAAAAAAAAAAAAAAAAAAAAAAAAAAAAAAAAAAAAAAAAAAAAAAAAAAAAAAAAAAAAAAAAAAAAAAAAAAAAAAAAAAAAAAAAAAAAAAAAAAAAAAAAAAAAAAAAAAAAAAAAAAAAAAAAAAAAAAAAAAAAAAAAAAAAAAAAAAAAAAAAAAAAAAAAAAAAAAAAAAAAAAAAAAAAAAAAAAAAAAAAAAAAAAAAAAAAAAAAAAAAAAAAAAAAAAAAAAAAAAAAAAAAAAAAAAAAAAAAAAAAAAAAAAAAAAAAAAAAAAAAAAAAAAAAAAAAAAAAAAAAAAAAAAAAAAAAAAAAAAAAAAAAAAAAAAAAAAAAAAAAAAAAAAAAAAAAAAAAAAAAAAAAAAAAAAAAAAAAAAAAAAAAAAAAAAAAAAAAAAAAAAAAAAAAAAAAAAAAAAAAAAAAAAAAAAAAAAAAAAAAAAAAAAAAAAAAAAAAAAAAAAAAAAAAAAAAAAAAAAAAAAAAAAAAAAAAAAAAAAAAAAAAAAAAAAAAAAAAAAAAAAAAAAAAAAAAAAAAAAAAAAAAAAAAAAAAAAAAAAAAAAAAAAAAAAAAAAAAAAAAAAAAAAAAAAAAAAAAAAAAAAAAAAAAAAAAAAAAAAAAAAAAAAAAAAAAAAAAAAAAAAAAAAAAAAAAAAAAAAAAAAAAAAAAAAAAAAAAAAAAAAAAAAAAAAAAAAAAAAAAAAAAAAAAAAAAAAAAAAAAAAAAAAAAAAAAAAAAAAAAAAAAAAAAAAAAAAAAAAAAAAAAAAAAAAAAAAAAAAAAAAAAAAAAAAAAAAAAAAAAAAAAAAAAAAAAAAAAAAAAAAAAAAAAAAAAAAAAAAAAAAANCTTACCTGCAGGCACTGAGGACGACCTTGTGCGCCCTGATACTACTGTCCGAGCACACGAGAGTGACATCGACGAGTATTTCAGCATGTAGTAGTGCTTCAAATGCCTGCAGTATGTGTGTCTGATGATTGTTCCATCGCAGTGAATAGTGTGACTGCAGTGCCATACCACCGTCGGGACTCTCCGCGGTGCTCGACATCTTTTTGACTTATTTACACGCGTCGGAGCCACCTTGTTTTATTAAACGTATTATTTGCACGTTTAATACGTCTCTTCAACGATGAATTATCTATCATCGATTACGATCTATCTGAAATTGGAGGTAAAACAATTTTGTTAATTCTTTTGTTTTTCATAAAATTTCATTTTTTTGCGGATGAATAGGGAGGGGGTGGGGAGGTTATGATGATGTCGGTGGACAGTCAGGGAAATTTTCGATTCGGTTCTCTGGTCATCAATCGATTTTTATCGATTAGAACTCCGGATAATGATGGAAAAAGAAAACAATTTTTTTTTCACTCGTTAATTTTTTTGTTTGAAATTACCCGTTAATTAGTGGAGTAAAATGAAGTATTTGTGGGTCGTTGGATCGGTAACTCCTTTGGCTTTCCAATACCACCATTTCCGGTCGATTTTTATCAATAGTTTTTTAGATAATTGACTTTGAAGTCAACGAAATCAATTTCTAAGGAAAATTAATGACTCACAATCTCTATTTAGGAGTTTCTGGGGGCAAAAGGGGTTGTTGAGGGTTAAAAATGACCCCATCGTATCCTCTACGAAATTTTCGATCCGATCGACATCTCAGCAATCGATTTTTATCGATTAAAACCCGAAATAATGACCTAAAAGTTTAAATCCAGGGTTTTCACTCATTAATTGGATTGATTATAATTACGCGTTAATTAGTGGAGTATAATGAAGTGTTTGTAGGTCATTGGATCGGGAATTTCCCTGGGTTTCCAACAAAACTATTTTCGCTCAATATTAGTCGATAGTTTCCGAAATAACAGTCGTTTAAATCAACAAAACCATTTTCTAATGAAAATTGATGATTCAAAATTGCTTTTTGGGGTTTCTGGGGGCCAAAGGGGTCGTTGGAGGTTGAAAATGACCCCGCCGTGTACTCCACGAAATTTTCGATCCTATCTACACCTCAGCAATCGATTTTTACAGATTCTAATCCGAAATAATGACCCAAAGGGTTAAATTAATTTTTTTCGCTCATTAATTTGATTGATTGATCATAATTACACGTTAATTAGTGGAGTATAATGAAGTATGTGTAGGTCATTGGATCGGGAATTTCCCTGGCTTTCCAATGAAACTATTTTCGTTCAATTTTAATCGATAGTTTTCAAAATAATAACCGTTTAAATCAACAAAATCATTTTTTAATTAAAATTAATGACTCAAAATCGTTATTTCGTATTTTTCGGCGGTGTCTGGGGGGTCGAAAACGACCCCATCATAAAGTCCCCAGAATTCTCCATCCGAACAAACAAAAAATCCCCCGTTTTGCCCCATTAGATCTCACAACTCTCCCGGAAAACGATTTTTCATTTGATTTTCCTGCGAATTTTCCTCGAAAAATCGTGTTTCCTCGGTATTTTTGGAAATAAACACGGAAAATTGATCGTCATGTTGACTTATCAACCGCAAATTGTCCCTGGCTTTTCAACGGCGCATGTATCACAACGCTCGACCCGACGTTTCACCCCGAATCTCACCTCTTCACACACCTCTGACGATCTGCATTAAACACACCGACTCGGGTAATCTCTTATTTACGCAAGCAATTAATTACTTGTTTAATTAATTTCCCACAAGTTCCGGATTTTCATCATTCAATGGGTCATTTCCCAATGATATCAATGACAAAAAAAACAATCAATCAATCAATTAATTAATTGACATATAATGAATTTTTTAATTGAGATAATAGCGGAGAGGATTAAAGTTGATTGAGTTGGCAATTTCATGGGGATTATTAATGCATTAAAATTTCCTCTCAATCTTTCATTTCAGTCTTTAGTTAATATTTCGTCTAGACGTTAGACGATAAAATTTATTCAGCTGAATAAATTGATCATTTATTAATGGATTCGTTAATTGGTTTATTGATTGAAGGGAAAGAAACGGGACATTTTTCCGGGTGAAAATTGTGTCCTTTCGTGTGACTTTTTCTACTGGCATTCACGTGTCCCTCGAATATCAGTTTTCATTTTTAATTATTCTTATTTTGATAAGGTACGTCCCAGGTATATTTTAATTCACCGGGCGCTCTAATAACACGAACACGTCACTGTGCGCAACGAAAACTGAAGAAGAACTTTGTTGTCAAACTCACACGTGCCGGCGCGTGATGAAAAAAAAGGTATCATGGGGGAAAAATATTACAGCGAAATACAGGGTTTTGTACAGGATACTGTGTTTATATTCAGCCTGGGTTGTCCTTCAACTTGTCGTTCTTTTGTCGGTTAGTGACATGACGAGTGTGTGGAGATGGTATATAATTTTCGGATGAAATCGATCTGTTAGTCCGGTAATATTAATTGGAGAGAATCAGGCAGATGTAGGTGATAACACAATTTTTGCTCAACTAAGTTGTTTTTCGATTTCTCAATGAAAAAATGCCCCAAAAGTGAATTTTTGCATTTTTTTAAAATTTTAATTAGGAACTTTATGATTTTTTCTAATGATGAAATTTTTATGTGGATGCAAAAAAATGTAAAATTTCGGTACTTGAATGCAAAAAAATGATGATTTTTTTACGATAAAATTGTTATAATTTTGAATAAAAAAAATGTTTTCATAATTTTTTTGGAGGCGAAAAATTCAAAATTTTTGGAATTTAATTTTCAATATTATTAACGCAAAAAATTGCACATTTTTCGACACTGGAATATGCAAAATTGATGTTTTTTTGACGATGAAATAATAATTTTAAATGAAAAATTTTTTTTCATAATTTTATTTGAAGATAAAAAATGCAAATTTTTCTGCATTTGAATACGAAAAATTATGGATTTCCATACGATGAGATAATTCTAATTTTGAATGAACACTGTTTTTTAATATTTTTTCAAGGCGAAAAATTCAAAATTTTTGGAATCAAATTTTTGTCAAAAAACAATCAAAATTTTTCATTACTGAAAAAAAAATCTAAAAATTCTCATTACAACAATATCCGGGCTCTGCTGTTCATTTCACAGTCACCCGAATATGGTAAACGTCAGTGACACACACACGTACCCGAAAAAATAAGGTAAAATCCTAAAATCACCGAGAGTGAGTCTCCCCCCTCTATATTTTTCTGCACGCGATAGCCAAATTTATTTTTCTCGTTTATCAACTCATAGCCTCGTGACTCGCGGCGTCGCGCCACGACCGTCGGGGATCGATCAAACTCGGTATTAATTGCGTCCCCAAACTCAAAACAAACTTCCGCCAAAAAATTACCCCAATTCCCACTCCCCATAAATCTTTAAAAAAATACATACATATTGTTTCAATCGCCGGTAAGTTTCCCCGCGTGGCAGTGTTTCGCGCCACCGAAAATTCACCAGCTGACTTGCCTCCGCCGTCTCCCCCCTCAAAATCCCCCCTCGTCCCCCAAAAACGTCATTTCTCACATTCAAAAAAAGCCCGCGAAAATAAAAAATCACCAACTGAAAGAAAAAATCCACTGAATACACCTCAGCACACGTTCTCCACAATTTTTTTAAAGTCACAGCTCCAAAACGCGCCCACTCCCCCCATCCCCCCCAATTTCATCAACTCTCGAAACAATTCGCACTAGTCCCCACACAATATTGCACCACAGCCCCAAAAAATAACTAGAAACCACTGAAAACTCCCCAGAACGTCACCAAAAATCTGTTGCACACCCGCCACTCTTCGTGACAGCGACACAAACCGAAAAAAAAAATCCAAAAAATTTCTTCAAAAAATCCTGACCCCCGGTGGGACTCCCGAGTTGTTGCTCGTGCGAGTGAAACGTGTGTTCTGAGGTGGGGGGATCTGTATTATCGTTTTCAAACGAGACGGCGTCGGCGACTGCCGATGAGTGAATGCGCTGTGACGTTAGGCGCCCCACCTAATACCCCCGGTGTACTGTACTTCCCTTTCCCATACACACGAACACACACGTACACATCCCCACCCCAAAGTACACATACACGTACGGGTGGCGTTCGGCGAGCGTGTGTGTGGGGAGGGGGGCTCCCAACTCACTTTCTATCTTCCACATTCACATCCCCCCTTCGCCCCCCCGCCCCGTCCCCACTACAGCCGCTCACTCACTCCACCTGCCCACACGAGTGTGACTATGTACTGCGACTCGGCCTCCTTAACCCCGCCCCCCTGTCCACCCATTTCGCTCACCCACCCACCCACTTGGAGAACTCGATGAGGAGTTGATTCTTCGGGTGGATTTTTTTATCGGCGGTGTTTTCACGGGTTTTTTAACGGTTTTTCGGGGTTTTTTTTAGGGGGTGAAGGGGTTTTTGGAGGGGGGCTAGGGGCGGGGGGCTGGGCATGGGCGGAGGGGGGCAGGATTCGGGGGGAGGGGGCTTCAGAGGGATTTTTTGGGGGTTTTCTTTTTGGTGGTGACAATTGAGGGGTTGGGGTGGGTTTGGAGGGAAGGAGGGTTTGTTTTGGATTTTTCATTTTTGAGGGGAAAATGAGGGTTTGGAAGGGGTTTATTGCAATTTTTGGGTTTTTAAGGAGATTTTTTTGCGAGGGATGGAGCAGTCTGAGGGGGTTTTCGGATTTTTTGGGAATTTTTTGACGGAAGAAGGGGGCTAGGGGCGGGGGGGCCGGCATGGCCGGAGGGGGAGCCAGGATTTGGGAGGGGGCCGAGAGGGATTTTTGGGGGGTTTTTGAGAGGTATTTGTTTTTTAAATTGAAAGGTTGGGGGGTTTTGAAGGGAAGGAGGATTGATTTTTTATTTTGCATTTTTAACGGAAAAATAAGAGTTTGAAATTTTTTTTTTATATTTGTGGGTTTTGGGGAAGGAGAATTTTTTGCGAGGTATGAACGGTTCGGAGGGGGTTTTAGGTTTGGGAATTTTTTGACGAAAGAGAGGGATGTGGATTTTTCAAAGTTTTTGAGGATTTTCTCGCGTTTTTTCAAGTTCAAAAAATTAGAAAAAATGTGTGTTGAGCAAGAGGAAAGGGAAAGAATCAGTGTGATTTTTAGAAGAGGAACAGTTTTTTGATTTTGCGTGAGTTTATGAAAAATTGGTCCATATTTTGGGGTTGAAGTTCAGTCGTCATAAGAGTTAGAAGTAATTGATAAATTTTGGAGATGCTGCGGAAGGTTGACATCATCTCTCGCGATTTTTGGAATTAAAAAACTGCTTGTTGCATTTTTTCCAGAAATTATTTCTGATATTTTTTGGGGTTAAAAAATAATTGAACAATCAGACCCTATCATCAACACCTTAATGACTTTACTCATCGTTGAAAAAGCCCTTTTCGTGGATAAATACCATGAGGAAAAAACATTTGGCACATTTCACAAAGCTTCAAAAATATGTCTCAAATTTTTTCTTCCGAAACTAACCTTTAAAACTCAAAATTTCTATATTTTCTCACAACCTAAAATCCAAAAAAGTTCTCAAGAATTAATTTTCGAAAAATGGCATATTTTTGCTTAACCTTCCATACTTATTTCAAAATCCGTTCCCTCCCCCTCCCTTTATCAAAAACCCCCGCAAAACTCACCACGTCTCCTAACCTAAAAATTCGCAATTCCCATTTCCCGATCCCCAAAAAAAAATTTCCAAAAAAAAAACATCCCTACCTTGATTTCGAAACCGTCGATGAGCAGGTCCCTCTCCCTCCCAAATCCTCAATCACAAACACCCCACACCCCACACAAAAATTTTGGCACTTGAAAATCACTTCCCCGCCCTCAGTGTCGTGCACCGGGTCTCCTCCACGTGAGCTCCCGAGCTTGACCAGTATCCCCCTGGTACCACACGCTCCCCCAGGCCTCCATGCACCACAAAACTCCACAAGTACCACCAGTTAACCTCAAAGGTGATAACAAAAAATCTCCACTCCACTAAATATTCAAATTTCCCCGCGCACACACGAATTTAAAAAGAAAAACTATTATTGGGTGTATGTACAGTTGGATCCGGCTGACTCGTAGTGCGGTCGCGTTATGACTGCCCTTCGCAACCGGTTCGGCTTTGCCCGGTGGTTACCAATGTTGAAGAGAAAGAGACGAAGGAGTCCCACCTCCTTTGGCCACCTCCATCCCTGGGTACCAGCCCACTCGGACCCCCTCTCCCACCCCCCTTCCGCGCCACGTTCTTTCTCACTCCGCTATGCCGTATTTCCACGTACAGTATATTCCTCGGTCGCACTGTTCCGCTCTGCTCTGGACTGAGCCGCTGTTCCCCCTCCACGTGGGACACCAGGTTTTTCCGGTAATGTCGCATGTTGAGGATATTTACACATGATGTTGAGGACTACAAATAATTTATTTATCAACGGAATTCGAGAAAATTTTTTAGGTGATCAAATTCCTGACTGTTGTGGAACGATATTCGCACTTTACGCAGAATGTTGTGAAATCTTTCTTGTGATGTTGCATGCGGAGGCAAACGCTGGCGGTCGATGTCGGATGATTCATTAATGGAACATACCGTAAAATGTCTTGTATTCTGGACTTTTGTTTACATTCCGCGGAGTTGACGCACTTTACGCAGAATGTTATGTCGTCTTTCCGGTAATGTCGGTATGTTGAGGAAAATGTTTACGCTTGATGTTGTAAGACCATTACCTACTGAAAAATTCGGGCAAATTTCTGTGTGATAAAAAGTTCCGTTATTTTTGGACCGACATCGCAGTCTATGTATGGTACATCGGAATTAAAAATATTGTGTCCTCATTAGGCCGAGGCAACATCATGTTTTTTCGATGGGCTACTATATTTTCGTGTGAATGTCGAATACGGAGGAAAATGCATTCACAACCTGATGTTGTCAGATTTATGATTATGGTTACCATCTGCCATTCCTGGTCAGTATTGGGTTTTCTGAATAATATCGCATATTAAGGAAAATGTGTTTACACCTGATGTTTGCGGAGGACTTACTGACGGAAAATTCTGAGAAAATTTTGTATGACGGGTTGGAAGAGGGGCGGTAATGGTGGAGGCACTGCAGGTTCTAACAAGTATTCAATAGTCATTTTAGCCTGTGATATTTTGATTTTCTCGTGCGGATTTTGGGAGTTCATTCGTAGGTGGAAAATTCGAGAAAATTTTTTTCAGTGATGAGAGGCGGGGGGGGGGATG